TTTTGTGCATGGTGTGAGGTATGAGTCTTGCTTAAGTTTTCTACAGATGGTTTTCCAATATTGCCAGTTGCATTTCTTTAAGAGACTGTCATTTCCCCACTTACCTGATTTCATCTCCTTGTCAAAGATCAACTGACAAAATAGGTTAATTAATTTCTGAGTTCTCAATTCTGTTCCATTGATCTATGTTTCTGTCACTGTACCCATACCACACTGTCTTCACAATTACGGCTGTGTAGTGGGATTTGAGACCAGGGAGTGTGAGGCTGCCTACCTTGTTTCTCTTTTTCAGTAATGTTTTCTTATTCAGGGTCTCTTTCCATTCCAAATAAAAATGGAAATTGCCTTTACATCTTATTGGAGAAAACTTTTATTATTTTTTTTTGAAAACTTTTATTATTGTTATATGTTGTCAAAGTACTTCTGACTTGTAGCAATTCCATGTGATAGAACAACAGAACTGTCTCATAGTGTTTTCTTGGTTGTAATCTTTAAAGAAACAGAAGGTCAGGCCTTTCCTCCCAGGTAGTCTCTGAATGGATTCAAATTGCTACCGTTTTAGTCAGTTAGGTTAAGCACTTGCATCACCCATCAGCTATCCTTTAGGGCTATTAGATCAGATAGATCTTTGGTTTTTAGCGTGAATGTCAGGTGATTCTCCATTGGAAATTGAGCAGGGGAGACTAGCTATCTTTCTGGCTGGTGAATTTGAATCTCCAGAGAGATACAGCCTTTGGCTAAGCAGCACAGCTCACTGGAGTTGGAGGGAGGAAGGAGGGAAGAAGGGGGGGAGAGAGAAAGAAAGAGAGAGATTGAGACAGAGTTCTAATAGCTCTGTCACCAGAGGTTGAGCTATTAGAAACATCAATGCAATTTAGTCAGTGATGTTTAGTAAGGGTCATTAGTGGTAGTAGGTGCTGCCAAGTTGAGTACAACTCATAGTGACCTTCTTTCTGTACAATAGATGTGAATTCTGTCCTATCCTTTGCCATTCTTATTGTTTCTTGATA